TTTGATTATCTTCTGCATTTTGGACCTGACATTTGTCATAAACCTCCTTTTTTTAATCGCAATTTCCTTATTTATCCAGGGAGGTTTGGATGCCCTCCGTTCCCCTTTGTGGGAATGTATTTGTTCTGTCCCCGAACTATCTCCTCCTTGAAGGCTTCCCATCGCTCACTCGCTGTTTTATCTGCCAATCTTTCTTTCCAGTCCACCTTGGCTAGGTCCCTCATTGAACTCATTGAAATTAGCCTTTTCCAGTTGAGTATCTTTACCTTTGTCCCTTTCCATTAGTACTGTAAAGCTAATGATGTTGTGATCACTGTTGTCCAGATGCTCTCCTTCTGAAACCTGCCCCACTTCATTCCCCAGAACTAGATCCAGCTCTGCTTCCTTCCTGGTGGGGCTGGAAACAAACTGATCCAGAAAGTTATCCTGCACACAATTCAGGAATCCTTCCCCCTCCTTGCCCTCTACACTGTTATTTCGCCAGTCTATGTTAGAATAATTAGAGTCCTCCATTATCACTACTCTGTTGGTTTTGCATCTTTCTGAAATCGCTTGCAGATTTGCTCATCTATCTCCTTCCCACTATTTGGTGATCTATAGTACACACCGAACAGAGTAACAGCTTATTTTCTGCTCCTTAACTCTAACCAAATAGATTCTGTTTGTGGGGCCTCTAACACATCGTCCCTTTCCAGGGCTGTAACTATGTCTTTGATTAATGTTGCCCCCCCTTCCTTTTTTTCCTTCCCTATCCCTCCTGAGTACATTGTAGCCAGGAATATTCAGCCCCCATTCCTGCCCTTGTTTGAGCCAGGTCTCCATTATTGTCACTACATCATAACCCCATGTGGCAATTTGAGCTGCAGCTCACCAACCTTATATGTCACACTCCGTGCATTTACGCACATGCACTCCAAGACCGACTGTTCTGCATTTCTCCCCTGGCTAATCCCTCCTTTTTCTGGATTACTCCTGGTTACTTTGCTATTCTTCTCTCCCAGCTCTCTATAAATGCAATCTTGTTGTTGTTACTGTCTTCAACCCTGGCACCAGGGAGGCAACATACCATGTGAGAGTCAGGTCTTTGTTAGCAGAAACACCTGTCTATTCCTTTCACCATTCTGTCCTCAATGCCAATTGCATGAATAATAATAATAATAATCCTTGCATTTGATTTTGCGCTTTTCACGTCGGGAGGACGTCCCAAAGCGCTTCGCAGAACACACTGTAAAGTGAATTGACTGTATATTTGTGGGCAAACACGGCAGCCAATTGCGCACAGCAATGTCCCACAAACAGTTGAGGATTGAAAATAACCAATTTATTATTGTTTTTGGTTTTGGAGGGATTATTATTAGGCTCTGTGTGGAGTAAGGAAACTTGCCCAAGGTTTCGCCCTGACCTGCCGGGGATTGAACTCAGGTCTCTCACTTGCAAAGCAAGTGCTCTAACCACTGAGCTACAGGACTCCACAAGTGCCACTTAATGATCCCTCCTGGTTAGCAATTAACTGACTGTTCAAATTTTGCTTTAAATAGTTTCCTGAAACTACCACTTGATGTTCTGAGGCTGGCACTATCTTTTCCACCTGCAGTCTATCAATGTTTCACCTCTTGCTCCTCTAAGAGTTTCTGCTTTTCCTGCTTGCAAACCCAGCTCCATCAGTTTCCTCTCATTTTTCTCTTGCCTGATATGTTTTCATCCCCTTCCTTGTGAAGGAAGATGTTGGCAATACATCGTATGCTGAGCTGAGTTGTCCAGTAGGAAGCTAGCACACTAGTGGAATGGGATGTTTGATGTCTCTCTGAAGAGATAGACGGGGCCTCTGGCAACACAACACTCCTCTGGTATTATTGTTGAGTGCTGGTGTACACTGTGATTTCACATCCCAGATGTGGGACTTGAACTCTGTCACATGCAAAAAAAACTGCTGTGTGCAATTGGTTGCTGCATTTTGCACACAAATATATGGTCACTTTACAGTATATTCTGTGAAGCACTTTGAGATGTCTCAAAGACATGATAAGGTGCTGTATCAAATGCAAGTATTATTTATCATTATATGCAATGGGAGTTCTCCTGATAGAGCCAAGCCACTAAGACAACTGCTACTGATCTCAATGAAAGTCCCTAAACAGCAGTGCAGAGCAGCCTGAGCTGAGGTGGGCTGGGGTGGGCTGAGCTGGGGTGGGCTCTGTGCTGGGCTCTGGGCTGGGGTGAGCTGAGCTGGGCTCTGGGCTGAGCTGGGGTGGGCTGGGCTGTGGTGGGCTGGGCTAAACTGGAGTGGGCTGGGCTGGGGTGGGCTGGGCTAAGCTGGGGTGGGCTGAGGTGGGCTGGGCTCTGAGTTAAACTGGAGTGGGCTGGGCTCTGGGCTGGGGTGGGCTGGGCTCTGGGTTAAACTGGAGTGGGCTGGGCTCTGGGCTGGGGTGGGCTGGGCTCTGGGCTGGGGTGGGCTGGGCTGAGGTGGGGTGGGCTGGGCTGGGCTCTGGGCTGAGCTGGGGTGGGCTGGGCTCTGGGCTGAGCTGGGGTGGATGGGGCTGGGCTGAGCTGGGCTGGGGTGGACTGGGCTGAGCTGGGGTGGGCTGAGCTGGGGTGGGCTGGGCTGAGCTGGGCTCTGGGCTGAGTTGGGCTGGGGTGGGCTGGGCTGGGCTCTGAGCTGGGCTCTGGGCTGGGGTGGGCTGGGCTCTGGGCTGGGGTGGGCTAGGCTGGGCTCTGGGCTGAGGTAAGCTGGGCTGGGATGGGGTGGGGTGGGTTGGGTTGGGGTGGGCTGAGCTGGGGTGGGGTGGGCTGAGCTGGGCTGGGTTGGGGTGGGCTGAGCTGGGCTGGGTTGGGGTGGGCTGAGCTGGGGGTGGGCTCTGGGCTGGGTTGGGCTGAGCTGGGCTCTGGGCTGAGCTATGTTGGGGTGGGGTGGGCTGGGCTCTGGGCTGGGCTGAGCTGGGTTGAGCTGGGGTGGGCTCTGGGTTGAGTTGGGCTGGGGTGAGCGGGGCTGGTTGTGGGGTGGGGGCTGGGGGTGGGCTGGGCTGGGGCTGGTGGTGGGGTGGGGCTGGGGGTGGGCTGGACTGGGGGCTGGGCTCTGGGCTGGGGGCTGGGGTGGGGTGGGGGCTGGGTTGGGCTGGGGGCTGGGCTCTGGGCTGGGGGCTGGTGGTGGGCGGGGCTGGGGTGGGCGGGGCTGGTGGTGGGCTGGGGGCTGGGCTCTGGGCTGGGGGCTGGTGGTGGGCCGGGGCTGGGCTCTGGGCTGGGGCTGGTGGTGGGGTGGGGGCTGGGCTCTGGGCTGGGGGCTGGTGGTGGGGTGGGGGCTGGGCTCTGGGCTGGGGGCTGGTGGTGGGCTGGGGGCTGGGGGCTGGGCTCTGGGCTGGGGGCTGGTGGTGGGCGGGGCTGGTGGTGGGCTGGGGCTGGGCTCTGGGCTGGGGGCTGGTGGTGGGCTGGGGGCTGGGGGCTGGGCTCTGGGCTGGGGGCTGGTGGTGGGCGGGGCTGGTGGTGGGCTGGGCTGGGGGTGGGCGGGGCTGGGGGGGTGGGCGGGGCTGGGGGGGCGCGGGCTGGGGTGGGCGGGGCTGGGGTGGGCGGGGCTGGTGGTGGGCGGGGCTGGGGTGGGCGGGGCTGGTGGTGGGGGGGCGGGGCTGGTGGGCGGGGCTGGTGGGGCGGGGCTGGTGGTGGGCGGGGCTGGTGGTGGGCGGGGCTGGTGGTGGGCGGGGCTGGTGGTGGGCGGGGCTGGTGTGGGCGGGGCTGGTGGTGGGCGGGGCTGGTGGTGGGCGGGGCTGGTGGTGGGCGGGGCTGGTGGTGGGCGGGGCTGGTGGTGGGCGGGGCTGGGATGGGCGGGGCTGGTGGTGGGCGGGGCTGGTGGTGGGTGGGGCTGGTGGTGGGCGGGGCTGGTGGTGGGCGGGGCTGGTGGTGGGCGGGGCTGGTGGTGGGCTGCCCAGTGTCCGGGCTGCAGAACTGCCATTACTAAGATGGAACCGACGCTGCCTCATCAGTCACAGTGCGCATGCTCAGCACTCTGCCGTCCCGCGCATGCTCAGTCCCTGGCGGCAGAGACTTGAAGCGCTGGGGCCCGGAGAGCGTCCGCCATGGCAGCCCCGCGCTGCAGGTGCTGCTGCGCCCCGGCACCGGGGGGGGGGGGGGGAGCGCAGGGGGGAGAGGGGGGGGGGGCGCGCAGGGGGGGGAAGAGCCAGTGGGTGGGTGGGAAAGGAGCTGTAAGGGGGGGACGGGAGAGAGAGCGGCCAGAGAGGCTGTGTGCGCAGTGTGTGTGTGTGTGTGTGTGCTGCAGGTGTGCGGTGTGTGTGTGCTGCAGGTGTGCGGTGTGTGTGTGTGTGTGTGCTGCAGGTGTGCGGTGTGTGTGTGTGTGCTGCAGGTGTGCGGTGTGTGTGTGTGTGCTGCAGGTGTGTGTGTGTGTGCTGCAGGTGTGCGGTGTGTGTGTGTGTGCTGCAGGTGTGCGGTGTGTGTGTGTGTGTGCTGCAGGTGTGTGTGTGTGTGCTGCAGGTGTGCGGTGTGTGTGTGCTGCAGGTGTGCGGTGTGTGTGTGTGTGCTGCAGGTGTGCGGTGTGTGTGTGTGTGTGCTGCAGGTGTGTGTGTGTGTGCTGCAGGTGTGCGGTGTGTGTGTGTGTGCTGCAGGTGTGCGGTGTGTGTGTGTGTGCTGCAGGTGTGCGGTGTGTGTGTGTGTGTGCTGCAGGTGTGTGGTGTGCTGCAGGTGTGCGGTGTGTGTGTGTGCTGCAGGTGTGCGGTGTGTGTGTGTGTGCTGCAGGTGTGTGTGTGTGTGCTGCAGGTGTGCGGTGTGTGTGTGTGTGCTGCAGGTGTGCGGTGTGTGTGTGTGTGTGCTGCAGGTGTGTGTGTGTGTGCTGCAGGTGTGCGGTGTGTGTGTGTGCTGCAGGTGTGCGGTGTGTGTGTGCTGCAGGTGTGTGTGTGTGTGCTGCAGGTGTGCGGTGTGTGTGTGCTGCAGGTGTGTGTGTGTGTGCTGCAGGTGTGCGGTGTGTGTGTGTGTGCTGCAGGTGTGTGTGTGTGTGCTGCAGGTGTGTGTGTGTGTGCTGCAGGTGTGTGTGGCAGTGCACACTGACTGCTGCAGCAAACTGTATTTGTGGCAGGAGAAAGTGGCATCAAATTAACAAGAACCCTGCACTGACTGACCCTGGAGGGGATGGTTTGCTAAACCAATTCTTGATTGACGTGTAACAGAAAACTGCTCGCTAACATTTATCTTTTCTGGTTGACTCCTAGAGGCTGCGTCATCAAACACTTTCTGAGGTGCTTTCATTTCCTTGTGTTTTTAAACTATTCCTCGTCTCCCACAGTGCAATTATGCAACAGATAAGGACCAGGTGAGCTGTCAGCACGCTCATGTGGTTTAATGAGAAAAAGGCTTCTTTAGAAGAACTTGTAAATGCATTTCAGTATTCAGTGTGTCCTGGCAATATAAATATAAAACAGAGATATTTCATTTGCATGTATGTACTGTATTAATATTTTGGGGGGAAATGGGGTGGGGGGGCGCTTTGAGTCGGGGTGGGTGCAGGTGAGCATTTTGCCAGGACACAATCAGGTACTGAGTTGTGTTGGTTAGAATTCTTGCCCGGCTCCCACCAGTGAATCTACTTCCTGCCCACTGCTCCTGCTGTTTGAGGTGTGGTTCTTTGTCTGTGTGTCAGGCTGTCAGCACTTACTGTAACAGAGTGTGCGTTGAGGGTAACTACTGGAATTTAACAAGCTGAAGCTGCATAGCTTGCTATTGAAACCATTATCTGGCAAGCTTCCTGCTGTTCGTCCAGCTAGAACTACTCTATTCCTTTGCAGGGCTAATAGGAGCTCAGTGGGAACAATTCCTGCTTAAGTGACTGGTCTGTCCTACGTCCTGCAGATGAGGCAGGTTGGCTGGTCTATGATCAGCAGTGTTGTTCTGTGAATACTGTAACAGCCCAGAATGGTTTTCTTTCAATAAATGTTGCGATTGAGGAATGATTCGAAAAGATCTGCCGGATGCAGTGGTGACGAATAACGCCGAAGGAATGTTAAGTTGCCAGGTGCTATATGTATGGGTTTGAATCCAAGCCTGGGGACATTCAACCTTGCACAACATTGTTTAATTACCACATTATACATGCTCCCCTTCTCTCCAGAGGGACTCCGCTGTCTGAGAGAGAATTCCGAGGAGGGCGGAGAAAGCGTTTCCCTTGTTACGCACCTGGTATGGGAGAACAGGTTTAAAGGGATTGTGCAGTCTTCAGCGAAACAATGGCCAGAAGTTGGTAAGGGATCCCCTCCCCTCGCCCCACTTTTCCCTGGCTGTAAACCCAGGACCTGCTGAAAGCTTCCTGCTTGTGGGAATATTATTCTTTAGCGGCAGGTTCTAGGGATAAGTAGCCCCTGTCCTTTGTGGACTGATTGTTTGCTCTGTTCTCTATGTAACAATCTATTCAACAAAACAAACTTTTTTAAAAAAAAAGATATTTAAAGAAAAACCTCTGGTGTTTTCTGCCAATTTGAAAGGAGATTTTCTGTTTGATCTCATGCTTTATGTGCTAGCGTGAAGTTTGTAGCTCATACATTCCTGCGCTGGCCTCACTGACCCCCAAACTTTGCTTGTGTGAGTGAGCAAAGTGGTTGTGTTCAGCGGTGAACACAGAGAAAGAGAAACTAAAAATCTGTGGAACACAGACCCGGGAAACCTCTTTCCATTTTGCCATTTGCTTTCTCTGGGCCTTTCCTTGATAGCCAGCTGCAGATTAGCCTTTGCTGCTGGGTGTTAGTGCAATAACTTGTTTTAATTGGAGAGATCAGACTTATTTTATAAACACAGCCTTACCTGGGCGAGTGCTGATGCCAAACCAGTTTTGTGACTTCAAAGCCAGGTGTTTCCAGGTTGCAACAGCTATCTTGTGCTGAGCCTGGGCTTGTTGCTTTGCAAACGAGAGGATCCGGGTTCGATTTCCAGCTGGGCGAATGTTAGGCAGGTTTCCTTACTCCACACGCCTATTTACCTAGCAGTAAGTAGGAACCTTTTGTTAGTTGATTGGAAAATCGATTTTCTGGGGGTAATAATCCCTTCACAATAAAATAATTATAATTTAGGCATTCAATCCACAACACTGCAGTGTGAATTGGCTGCCGCGTTTCACCCACAAAATATACAGTCAATTCACTTTACAGTGTATTCTGTGAAGCGACATCTGGAAGACATGATCAGGCACTGTATAAAATTTAAGGATTATTGTTATATATAGTCAGGTTTATTTGCTAATCTGCTCCTTGCCCCACACGCGTGGTCTGTGGTGTTAACTCCACCATTTGATTCCAGCCTGTAACTAACTCCCAGGATACCGATTTCCTCAGTTATGTCGCACATTGTAACACTCCGTTCAGATCTATGTTTGTAACATTTAGGTAAATTGGCTTTACATAGATTGTCTGGCCATCATTCGAGTGTGACATTGCACACAAGTATGAGCAGATACATTGCTGTTTGAAGCTGTCAGGAATGTGTGTGAGACGTGGAGCAGTGGTATTTGTGAGATTGAATGCTGGGTGTTAAATTCAGTGCTTTCTAACAATAGGAGGAACAAGTAAATTAACTCTCTACTAAAGTTACTCAGAATAAGGACCCAAACCATAGTGATAAATGCGGCTAGAATTTATCTTTGCTTTTATTTTATAATTTAAAATTTTATTCGGTATGGAATCCTCTGCCTAAATGCATGTGGATAGAAAAGTTTTATTCACTGGATCAGTATTGCAATTGAGTAACTTGAAAAAGGAGATGGGATTGATTTCTGGTCAGAGTATAAGTGTGTGTGGGGGGGCGGGGGGAGGGGAAGAGCAGTGGTAACCTGTTTGTATTGTTTGTAATTTGGGAGTTTCATCACCTGTTTGAAAGTTCCCTACAGTTTTTGATGTAACTTTTCTTTCCCCAGGTTTATGAATAACCGACCTCTTGCAAATTCCCGGTATCAGCCCACTGCATACGAGCACGCTGCAAACTGTTATACGCATGCTGTAAGTATGTGCGTTTGTCCCATGGCGCACCACACAGCTGACGTGTGTGGCGTAAGGATAGTGAGGTGACAGTCGGCATAAATACAAATCCCCCACTCACGTTCTCCCAATGAGAGGCCACACTTACTCAACCTGGCAGATGTGCCTTATTCCCATTCATCTTTTTATTTTCACGAGCTATCTGCTGATCTGTACAGAGTTCGAGCATAAGCGAGCAGGTGAATGGAACAGAACTTGAATAAGAGGCAATATAATCCCTGGAACATTGGATTCCAGGAACCTGGATATCAATCCTCCTTTTGTGCTGCGCAGCCACATTCATCAACAGCTGTTACTACCAATGTGATGTTACAGTGTGCAAGCATGTGTATCTCCAGTTCCTACTTCACCCCTGTTGTGTGCCGGCATGTGCTCCCCTCACCGTGGGCCTGACACTACCTTGCCTCACAAATGTCGACATGCTCTCAGCATAAGCTTGTCTGGAGGTTCTGAGCGCTACCTGGCAGCTATTGCGGCTGCTTTATCCCCATGCCATCATGTACATCACATGAAGGTGGCATTTCTGAATTTGAGCGTTCTCCTGAGCATCTGCTTTTAATTACTCCAGTGAACTAGCTCTTAGGGTGAAGAGAAAATAATTATTTCCACTGAAACTCAGAACCTTCTGACTCCGAGATGAGATGGTGACAAGCTGAACCACTGACTAAGCTGAGGCTTTTCATGTACTTTCTTCCCAGTTGCTGATTGTCCCTGCGATTGTGGGCAGCACGCTGCTTCACCGACTGTCAGATGACCGGTGGGAGCGGATCACGGCGTGGATGTATGGAGTGGGTCTCTGTGCCCTATTCATCGTCTCCACAGTGTTTCACATCATCACCTGGAAAAAGAGCCACTTGAGGTAATCCCCAATTTGGTTTCTGTCAGTAAATTATTATTTTTGTATTATTATTATTCTTGCATTATCATTGCGTTGTGGCTTTGACTGGGTCAAGATTTGCTGACTCTCTCTCTGTCTGTCTGTTGCTTGACAGGACAATGGAGCAATGTTTCCACATGTGCGACCGCATCGTCATCTACTTCTTCATCGCTGCCTCCTACGCTCCTTGGTGAGTTCCGTGTTTATGGCACTGAGGAGCCACACTCTGAATGCACTGGCACATTAGTCCGGGACGCTGTAATAGTTTCTGTCCCACCAGCTCTCTGTGTTGCATTGTTCATAGAATAGAATCATAGAAGATTACAGCACCGAAGAAGGCCAATCAGCCCATCGTCCCTGTGCGGCTCTTTTGAAGAGCTACCCAATCAGTCCCACTCGCCCGCTCTTTCCCCAGTTCACTATAGAGTGGGTGGGATTCCCCAGAGGTTTGTGCTGTGTTAGTCAGGCATTGCATAAATAATTGTTTCTTGAACCTTCTGAGCGTGGTCTAAATTTATTGCTAATCTTATGGTTTGACGGCAGCGACTTGGGACGTCCTGACGACCCTAATCACATGTAATCTGTTCTCTCTGCTGCAGGTTGAATCTACGGGAGCTCGGGCCACTGGCCTCCCACATGCGTTGGTTTATCTGGATTATGGCGGTTGCTGGCACTATCTATGTGTTCTTATACCATGAAAAGTAAGCAGCACTCTAGCCTTTTGGTCAAAGTATTTGCTGTTTATTGCTGGCTTCTGTACCGTCCCTGTACTCTCAACTCGATTTCTTCACTTTGATACCAGTTTCTCTAGTTCCTAAATGCACTTGAGAAAGCAGCTTCTAAATCAAGGCTGTACATAAGAGTTTCCTGAATTCTGGGCATTCTGAAATGCTGCATTAATAGAGTAAACCAAGGCTTGGGTGGAATTTTACACCTAGAATCATCTGAAGATTATTTTTGGAAAGTGAGGTTTGACCCACGTGTAACCTTCCCGCGCAGGTATAAGATTATTGAGCTTCTCTTCTACTTGGCCATGGGATTCTCCCCCGCTGTGGTGGTGGCATCAATGGTAAGTGGCTGAAACTTCCTCCTTTTAATTGTGAATCGTTGACTCTTTTGTCAAAGGTATGATTCTTTGTTCAGCTGCGACGGTATCTGAACTATTTGTTTTGCTGCAGACAAACACTGATGGGATGCAGGAGCTTATTTGGGGCGGGCTGCTGTACTGTCTGGGTGTCATCTTCTTCAAAAGTGATGGGATCATTCCGTTTGCCCACGCCATCTGGCATGTCTTCGTGGCGTTGGCTGCAGCCGTGCATTACTATGCCATCTGGAAGTACCTGTACTGGAGCTCCCCAACTCCTGTATGGAAGGACTATTAGACACATCCAGCTGGCCTTGTGTGGATGACAGATTTATACTTGACTTCCTTCAAAAGAGAAAAAGTTTTAAATTGGTGGCCGCAGATCAGAGAGCGGAGGGAGGGAGGAGCGGGAACACAATGTGGTTAGCACGCAGGTCGTCTGCCGCTCAGCGTTCAGTAACTCAGCTGTGAAGCACAGGACCTCCCTCCAGAGACGCTGTGCAATTGTCGGGTGGCAGAGAGGGAACGCTAAGAGCTTGTAAATGTTTTTTTGGGGAGGGTGGGAGAATTCTTCCTCACTTCTTTTCCTGTGAAACTTGAGACTTTGAACTCTGGATGCTGATGGGGATTTCCCAGGATGGATCTTGCTGTTAGAATATTGAACTCTGCCTGGGGCTCAGGGATCGGACGTCGTGAGAGCTGCTCTCAGCTCTGGGCATTATTGGTTTTGATCCAGATTGCCGCAGTAAAGTCAGTTGGTACATTCCACACACAGCAATTTATACCTCTGCTTCCTACCCATCATCATCAGATGAGGCTGGATCTCATTGGACGAGGCTGTGAGAACAATTCAGTGAAGACTTCATCAGCTGCTGTATTTCGACGAAGTATTGTTTAGGTTGAGCTGCTGGTTCTGACACCAGCGATGGGGATTTTGGAGATGAATATGTTTTATTTCCTTGCAAAGGCAGAATGGAGTCTGGTTTCCTGTGACAGTATTATAGTAAGCGTGTGACCTGTGTGTGTGTGTGCGTGTGCGCTCCTGTGTCATTGAACAACATGGAAAGAAAAGCACTTTCACAGCATCGTGTCGCTCAGGCCTGGCAGGATCATGGCGGGCGAGCACTGCTCAGGGATCTCCATTCGGGAGGCAGCGGGAAGCTGTGTCACTGATCTATCGGGTGCTTTGGATCATCAGCAATGCTGCCGGCCTCAAGTTAGGACACTCACTTTCCAGTTTTTTACAGTTTGTAATTTTCTAAGAGAGTAGCTGTTTGTGTCAGCAGCTGCCATGTCTCTGGTTTGCTTTCGCAGCAAAACATCAATTGTGTTATTCGTACACTGTGAGTGCTTCCCCAGGTTTACAGCTTCTCTTGTATTAAGCGATATAAGGCTTGAATATAAATGTTTACATTTTGGGAAGACTTTGAGCATTGTACAGACTTCGTGGGAAATATAATTGAGTTTAGACCTGACCTGAATCTGCAGCTGTTTCTGTGGAGCGTTGTGGTGTTTTCTCTCTCTCTCTCTCTGACTCCCCGTAAAACAATAGCTGAGTGTTGAATGAGCTGGTTCTGACTGAGAACACAGCTCGCACCTGCACTGCCAGAGACGCGCAGCAACACATTGGGGAAGTGACATGAATTCTGACAATGTTCACTTGTTGGGAATTGTCGTGTTGAGCGTCTCCAGCAGCTTGGAGACACCGGGCTGGAAAACCTGCTCGGTGTGATCAAAGCTGCCGCATAACTCAGGTGTTTGACGGGAGCAGAATGGGATGGTTGGGAGAGGGAACAACCCAGGGATCCTACGGCCACTGTCAGTACTTGCTTTTCACCAAATATTCCACACAATGTAAGACTTTCAATGGTGCTTTCCTTCACATCCGTGAAATAGTTTTAAAAGGCTTTGTTTCCCTTTTGAAGTACAGGTTATCAAACTTCTCACTCGGGTAATAGTCACCTCCTGTTTGTAGTAGTTTTCCTCAAGATCAATGACCGAGAGTGACAGCTGGACATGGGCTGGTTCCTCTGGGCGTTGAGACTTTCTGGATGTGCGACTTGCCCAGGACCTGTTATAGGAATCGTGCACAGAAATATAGTACCAAATGTGAGTAAACCATTCCCTTTGACCCTCTGTGTGCTAGTGCTGAGCTGTGTGCACTCAGTATGAGCACAAGTGAATGTGGATTGTTTACCTGTTGTGGGCTTTGTGGCTCTGGAGAATTCAATCCAGCAAAAGTTTACACCAGTGGTGGTCGACCCATGACCCACGGGGCCGTCAAGAAGTGGCCCACTGAACATTCACACTAGTGTAGGTGAATCTGTTTTAAATCAGGGTTTTGTTTACAGTTTTTTCTTGAATATTTCTTGAATTATAGCAACATTCAAGATTTATTTTGTCGTCCAACCAAATAGTTAGCCACCACTGACATCCAATCCTGTAGCACCAGATATCAGTGACGTGATATTTTGGGGCTTTAGTATAAATTCCCTTGTAAGGGGGTGGGGGGTGGTTCTTGTACTGTATGTATTAAATGGTTCCACTTGTCTGCAATATTTTGGAAAGATTTGCCAGTGAATGTACGTGAGGCGGCTGTGATTTGAATTGTGTTTGGGGTGGGTGGGGGGGGGAGTTAGAGAGCCTTCGTTTATTTTTATATCATGATTCACATCAATTATTCAAACCGCCAAGGATGTTCATATGGTATATATTCCCTCAGCAGGCACCGCCCCCCCCCCCCCCCACCCTCTGTCAGAGCTGAAGCACTGTCCACAGAGCCAGACTATTGAAGGTCAAAAAGCCCAGATTTGCTCCTGATCCCGTAATCCCAATAAAAATAGGATTTCCTTGTGCCTCCGGTTATTTTATTTCAGTGCAGTGGAATGTAGTTTGCCCTCCGCACACGCCTGCTTCCTGTGATCGTGCTATTGCCAGCCCGGCAGGTGGGTGCCCTGTTTCTATACAACCCTAACAGCAGCCGTGGTGAGGTTCTGGGGGAGTATGAGGTCCCTCCCCAGGGTCTCCTTAAAGTGCTGCAAATTGGCAGGGATCTCGGTGCTTGATTCTATTAGTCATGGTGCTTTCTTTATAGTTGTGGTTGCATTTTAGGGGACAGGGGACCCTGGGATCAGTTGACATGTTGATCCTGATCAATCCAGTCACCTGGACAAACCCCATTTCTATAAAACCACTAAAAGCCGTATTTGCCTGTCTGTTGTATTGAGAAAAGTTTCTATAAATCCACTTCATGGTTCAATCTTTCCTGAAATATTTCTCCTGGTATATCGCATGTGCGGCTAAATGTTCTTTCTATCTGTTCAGACATCTTGATTCCCTGAGTAGAGAGTGCTGATCACTACCTGCTTTCGATGCTGTACTTTGGTTTTGCTGTGTCCTGTATGAGTGCTGTAAACTGTTCTTGAGTTGAATAAATGCAGGTTTGTGTAATTTTATTCTGGTTTTATACATTGTCGCCTGAAGACGGGAGGAGAAAAGGCCAATCCAACTGAGACACCTGCTCTTCCTATCCCGTACCTTGTGCATGTCCTGTGGCACCCATGAGTGCATGTGAGACCCACATCAGGTGGGTTAGGCTCAGTTATGATGCCATCTGCTGCTATTCACTGTCTAGGCCTCGTGTGAAGAATGGCCACTTGATAGGTCTGTGCCCATGTGATTGTCCTGCCACAAGTAGTGCTGAGCAGAGAGGAAACGGTGAGAGATGAAATAAAACTTTAAATGTTGCTGACTTCTGGGTGTGGAAGAATTATGATAATAACCCTTCCAGTTAATATCACAGTTTCATGTCAAAGTACTACAGAACGCTTCAAGGCAATTGGTGACAAGTGTAGTGACTGAATTGTAAGCAAGCGCAGCAACCAAATTTTGCACAGCAACTTCCCACAAGCAGTGAGGTGAGCAGTCAATTTAACTAGTGTTTTTGGCCAGGACACCAGGAGCAATTTCCCTTTTCTTTTCAAATTGTGTCTTAGGTTCTTTAACATGCACTTGAACAGGCAGACTGGATCCTGTCTCATCTTAAGGAATGCACCTCCAACAATATTGTGTTTCTCCAACACTGCACTGAAAGCCAGTCTGTAAGGGACCATGGCTTCAAAGGGACTGACACCAGACGTAAACCCACAACATTTTGAGTCCGAGGTGTACATTCTGTCACTGAGCCAGCCCTGAACCTACTCTGAGAAGCCATTACGATTTGGCAGCTGCTCACACTGATCTGGAGATTCAATCCTGCTATCCAGGAGAAACCAAATCCAAACTGTCCCTGAAAAGGTGTATTTTTTTAATGTTGGGCTGCCATCTTGCGGTGCTCTTGGGACCTGGAAAACAGGCTCCACATCCAAATAACAGTTGGTCAGCAGTGCTCAGCTGTGAGTGAATCAAGAAGAATTTCAGCAGAAGCTTATGATGGTTAATTTTGAGGTGAGCTGTCCTCTGCTCTCCTCTCTTTACAACCACTGGCATTGCAGCACATGGAAGCTGAATGGAGAGCTCTGGGCAGATGTTCTGGAGTAGTGTGATGACTGGGGAGATGTGCAAGTATTTTTATATAGAAGGTTCAGTGATTTGAGGAGAAATGTTTTCACACAGCGAGTTGTTGGGATCTGGAATCATTGCCTGAAAGGTTGGTGGAAGCCGATTGGTTAACAACTTTTAAGAGAGAAGTAGATAATTATTTGAGGAAGACACGTTTGCAGAGCTATGGGGAGAGAGCGGGGAAGTGGGGTTGATCAGGGCTATGGGGAGAGAGCGGGGAAGTGGGGTTGATCAGGGCCATGGGGAGAGAGCAGGGGAGTGGGGTTGATCAGGGCCGTGGGGAGAGCGCGGGGGAGTGGGGTTGATCAGGGCTGTGGGGAGAGCGCGGGGGAGTGGGGTTGATCAGGGCTGTGAGGAGAGAGCGGGGGAGTGGGGTTGATTTGGAAGCTCTTTTCAAAGAGCCGACACAGACACGATGGGCCGAATGGCCTCCTTCTGTGCCGTATAATTGTCTGCTCCAATAGCGTGTGATTTGGACGGCTGCAGGACTGTAGCACAGCCGAGCAACAGTGGCTTCCAAATAGCTCAGCAGCACCACCAGCAGGGGATTGTTTCTGTGCTGGTTGCTTCAAATGGAGCTTGCAAGATGGAGCTTAAAATGTTCAAAGTGAGGAACAAACCATGTTTTGGAGGGTTGTAAACTATGCATTTTAATTCTGAGCCGCGCGGTGACCATTGGCAGCCACACGGCTGCTCTCCCGGCAGCACCTTGTTGTGGATTTAGAATCATAGAATAGTACAGCACAGAAGGAGACCCTGCGGCCATCGTGCCTGTGCTGGCTCTTTAGAAAAGCTGCTCAATCAGCCCCGCTCTTTCCCCATATTCTTGCAAATTTTTCCTTTTCATGTACCCATCCAATTCCCTTTAGAAAGTTGTTATTGAATCTGTTTCCACCACCCTTTCATTCCAGACTGTAACAACTCTGGGTAAAAAAAATTCTCCTTATCTACCCTCTGGTTCTTTATAGCCTCTCCTGATAACTGAAGTCCCTCATCCCTGGTACCATTCTGGTAAATCTCCTCTACACCCTCTCCAAGGGCTTAACATCCTTCCTAAAGTATGGTTTCCAGAATTGGATACAATATTCCAGCTGAGGCCTAACCAGTAATTTATAAAGGTTCAGCAGAACTTCCTTGCTTTTGTACTTATGCCTCTATGTACAAACCCAAAGATCCCATATGCTTTTTTAACAGCTCTATCAACCTGTCCTGCCATCTTCAAAGACCTGCGTATGTGAACCTCCGGGTCTCTCTGCTCCTGTACCCCATTTAAAACTGTACCATTGACCACTCTATCCTCCTCCACCGCCTCTCCCCTCACTTCAATCTTCGTGGTTCTGTCCTTGAATGATTCAGATCCTACCTCTCCCACCGTCTCCACTTGATCTCCACAAACGCTTCTCCTCCAGCCCCCGCATCGTCACGTGGTGTTCCTCAGGGCTCTGTCCTTGTTCCCCTCCTTTCAATATCTACATACTCCCTCTTGGTGACATCATCCGCAGACATGGGGTCAACTTCCACATGTGTGCGGATGACACCCAACTCTCTCTCTCTCTGCCCCCACCCTCGATCCAGGACCCACTGCGGTCCTGACAGAATGTCTGTCAGACATCAAGCCCTGGATGAGAGTGAACTTTCTTCAAGACCGAGGCTTCTGATTGGCTCCCGTCAGCACCTCCTCACCTCAGGCGCTGACAGCATCACCATCCATGGGGCTCACTCCCCCCTCCCTAAGCCAGTCCGGAACCTTGGAGTCTTGTTGGACCCTCAACCATCCTTTCTACCCCACATCCATGCCATGACCTGTTCTGCCTTCCCCCACCCTCCACAACATCGCCCGGCTCCACCACTGCCTCACCTCTCAGGCAGCTGAAACCCTCATCCACGCATTCATTACATCTAGGCTCGACTACACCAATCCCTGCTTGTTAGCCTTCGAAACTCTTCCCTCCACAAGCTGCAGATCATCCAGAACTCTGTAGCTCATGGCCTCTCCCGTACCAGGCTCTGTGACCCCATTATGCCCACCTTTGCCTGGATCCCCATTTCCCAGAGTTCAAAATCCTCACCTTCAAGGCCTTCCAGAGCCTTGCTCCTCCCCTGCCCGGCCCGTTCCACCAATGGCGGCCAGGCCTTCAAACTTTCTGCCCCCACCCTATGAAACTCCATCCCACAATTCCCTTTGCCTCACTCCCTCCTGTGCCTCCTTCAAGTGCGTCTCAAAACCCTCCTCTTCGACTGAGCCTTCGGCCACCCCCCTGTCCTCCAACTCCCCAATCTTGACCCCAGCTCAGGTCCAAATCTCTGACTATCCAACACTTGGGATATCCTTCCGACATGAAAGGGGCTATACAAATGTAAATGTATTGTACAGCTGTATCTGTTGCAGCTTCTCTTGCAACCAAAGGATCTGATATGGAATGTATACACAGACAGACATTTCACCTGGCCTGTAGTTACCAGGTTTGCCCCTCTCCCCCTTTTTGTACAGGGGAGTAAATTTGCAACCTTCCAGTCCTCAGGCACTACTCCCATATCCAAGGAGGATTGAAAGATTGTGGCCAGAGCCTCCGCTATTTCTATCCTAACTTCCCTCAGCAACTGAGGATGCAACCCATCTGGACCAGGTGACGTTTCTACTTTGAGCGCTGCTAACCTTTTAAATACCTCCTCTATTTTTTATCCTATCCAATTTCTCTGTCTCCTCGTTCCTTACTGTGACATTGGCAACATCCTCTTTTATGAATGCAGATGCAGAGTACTCATTTAGTACCTCGGTCATGCCCTCTGCCTCCACAAGAAGTATTCCTTTTTGGTCCCTAATCGGCCCTGCCCTTGCTTTGACCATCCTTTTACTTTTTATGTGTTTAAAGAAGACTTTAGGATTTCCTTAGATTAGCATGAGAGAAGATTACCGAATAACCTTTTCTCATACTAATCTTTGCCCCCATTTCCTTTTCCAGTTCTGTGCTTTCTGTATTCTGTTTGATTCTCTAATGTATTTTGAACCTGACATTTATTATAAGCCTTTTTCTGTCTTCCAGGAACACAACAAACAACAACAAGA